GTTTCAACCATATCCGCACTATCAACAAGGTGGAAAAATCCGGAAGCTCTCTTATTAGTCTTGCTAATAACTCTCATGTACCCAACCTTTCACGAGAATTTACTTCTTGCTTACAGCTAAGAAAACAGGAGGTAGTCATAGACTTATTCGCAAAGTGGCAAACTGATGCCAAACTGACTGATGAGAAGGAAAATCATAAACACCAAGCAGGAGATCCATACTATCTCTAAGTATTTTAAAACTGGAAACTTAGATGTTATGGCAACTTGATATTAGTCAAGACTTTCTAAGCAAAACTTTAACTTTGATATCGCAAACATCAAGATTGCAAAGTTATGAACGCTAGAAACATGTGATCATGACTTTCTGGCTGCCAAATAATAAGTATGTTCAATCGAGTTTATAGTTCTGGCATAACCCTTTCCACTTGACAATAGGCTATACTCATTGTATTACAATCAAGATGCAGACTTAGGAGAGGCTTATGGTCCATAATTCTACTATGATCAAACAGTAGGTTGATTGCTTAATTCTGCAGAGATAATACAAGTTGCAAAGAGCCTTTCTTCAAATATAGACCAATTATTTTGACGTATTGCTAGTCAAGAACTGTCACACTAATGTAGTTTGCAGAATCATGGATGCCCAACTAAGGCGCAGAGGAGCGAGCAGTCAGTTCTTTCTAACCGATACCACACATATTGATAGTGGACTTTATCTACGGAGCCATTCTCACTAACTGGTAGCTATTTCTTGAATAATAGGAAATTATCAAGTCACCTGAACAATTGTTTCACAGCTTGATTCTTATCCTCAACTCAGACTGCGCCTTCTAATATTTGTTAAGCTCAGGTAATCTTTTCTTACCTTCTTACACAAAAATGCAAAACCCTCTTGGGGTTACAATTTCAGAGCAAATAAACCCATACAATACGAGGCTCTATATCACATTTCCATCACATATTCACAGTATCAGCACAGAATAAAATCGACTTCGGATGGCTCCTTTAATAGCCGATGCAATTGCACACAATGGTTCCTACGTACTGTCGCTTCCAATACTTAAAACTCTCCTCTGTTCTTCATGTATCCTAGATTTCCTTTAATCCTGTTATTCCGTTATAGCTTTAATACACAAAAGCCTTACATTGACAAAGTAACATTTTACACCTACATATTGATGTATTTCATGAAACCTGAACAGGGGGAGAACGAAATGGCGCGGTGCGTGCGTATACTGTATCTCGCTTGGATGACTTTGTTTTGTCCAATTTGGGTACATCATAGCTTTAGAAACTCTAGAAATTCTTCCCAATGAAGTTATTTCAATAGCATGAGGAGATTAAGACATCCCCCCTTTTCATTTTAAAGTTTAATATTCCCACTTGTTTACGAATGGATTTTTATTTATTAGTAATGTATCGCTTATGAACTTTGTAAAACACACTAGGCCATTCTTATCTTTTCAGATAATATAAAAGTTGTAATCCCTTTCACTGATTTACTTCAATTTTGATTACGTTGTCTTAGTAAAAATCGTTCTCCTTTTATGGTTATAAATGGTTCGTACCTTTATTAATGTGCATAGATTGCTTGGTTTATTTGATTGAAACAATAAAAAATGAAGCTTTTGTAATTTTTCAATGAACTCCATAAAATGATTTATCTCAGGTTGATCGCGCATGTTAATAATCCTAAGAACTGATAATATACTGAATCTATAAGAATGCAATTTTGGACCATCATTTAATTCCAATGATATTACTACATCAAACTTATTTGTGTTCATAAACTTAGTCGCTCACAAAATGGACAGTAGTTGAAAGGAAAAAAATAGGCATATGACTGAAAGCAGCCTAGGTCTCTTATGTTCACTGTGAAATACTTCTCCAAAAACCATCATTTCAAAGGGGGAATGCTATTTAGAAGCTGCTCTTACACTTATCAATCGGTTACTGCCATCTCTATCTAATAAATCTTAAACCTCCATTGGAGTTTCCTCAACGGAAAAAATCCTTAGATAGTACCTCTTATAAATCTTTAGATGTAGATTTATTGTTCATCAGAAATGTATCTTCTACGCCAATATAATCCTAAGATCACCTCTGAAGGTGTGTTTATATGGTAAATCTTACTACTCAAAAAGAACACAGTTAATTATCCTCCTATCTTAGAGAAATACTCTTCTAGGAAATACTTTATGAGTATGGATGTTACCTTTCAGGAATTTGAGTCTTATTTTCCTTCCTAGTCACCTCTTCAGGGGGAGAAATATCAGAGGAAGAGGTGATGGATGACATTCCTTTCTAGGGGGAAATTCCTATAGACATTGATAATAAGAGAGACCAACGACCCAAACCTCTAGAAAGATTGGATAGACTTGATTTGAAAACCTACACACGGCGAACCAATACGGATACAACCATAGAGAATGAGACCTCTGATCAACCGTCTTCTCCAATTTCAGGCCTTAAAAATACAAAAGAATAAGAACCTGGTAAGTCTTCTTTAATCCCTATTGATTCTGATCCTAATCTTGATACTAGCCCTTCTGAAAATGACCTTGATATTCCTATTGCTCTTAGAAAGGAGTTAGAACATGCACTAAACATCCCATCTCCCATTTTATCTCCTATAATACTCTATCCCCTTCCTATAGAGCCTTAGTTTTGTCTGTTTCTTCTGTTTCTATACCGCACGATTGGCAAGAGGTATTATAGGACTCAAAATGGAAGGCTACAATGGTTGAGGAGATGAGAGCTTCGGTAAAAAATGAGACATGGGATCTAGTAATTCCTCCATTAGGAAAGAAGCCAGTTGGATGTAAATGGATGTTCACAGTTAAACATAGAGCAGATGGTTCAATTAAAAGGTACAAGGCTAGATTGGTAACTAGAGGGTTTAGTCAGACCTATGGAGTTAATTACTAAGAAACGTTTGCCCCTGTAGCCAAGATGAACACAATCAAAATTTTACTGTCTTGTGCAGCCAATCCTAATTAGGAGTTACATCAATTTGATGTTAAATATGCTCTTCTACATGGTGATTTGAAAGAAGAGGTGTATATGGAGATTCCTCCTAGATTTGATGATGATAAGACCAGAGGAAAAATTTGTAAGCTGAAGAAGTCATTATATGGGCTGAAGCAATCACCAAGAGCATGGTTTGAAAGGTTTAGTAAAGTTATGCTTTCTTTCCGGTACATTCAGAGCGATGCTAATCATACTTTGTTCATTAAACATCATGAAGTTCATTAAACAATCATGAAGGTAAGATTTACAACATTGCTTATTGTTTATGTTGAACCAAATTGTAGGTCATGTATGCGCAAATTGACTAGGCTACAATACTACATATTGTATGGAGAGCATGAGCTAATGACTCCCCACAATAAAGTTTATTCCTGTTCGAAACGTAACGTCCTCTATATTTGTCTCAGACCGTGTCTTAGAGGAGCCTGGATGGTTTTTCGATGATTACTCAAGGGCCATTATCAGAGATAGTGTGACGAAACAAATATAAGATATTTATTTTCTCCAGCCTTCTTGTGCGGTGGCATCAGTGTAAAGATTGACACTCTAACGATTACGGATAAGGAATAAAAGGACTCAGCGCCGCCATTTCTTCTCAATACTTTTGTGCCAATACGTTGAGTGTAGGGAATTGGTATAGCATCTCGAATCAGTCATTGAATTGGTCAACACTATGCTATCAATTAGATGGCACTAATGGGCTATGTTGGGATGTAAACCTGTTAGAATCCAACCCTATTGAAGCCAACATCACTAAAGGCTTCAAGCTGGAGTGGCGAAGTCTACCGTGTATGTTCCGTCAAGTATCAGAGATTTGGTCGGGAGGTTGAATTTATCTTTGCCCCATACTCATGGAACCAGACTATTGCCTACTGCTATAAGTTTTAGCTGAGTCAATAGATGCATGATCCTTCGGAGTCCTCATTAGAACGGTTGTGCATTGCGATTCCTAAGTTATTTTAAAATCAGCTCCAGGTAGACGGACTTTTTATTTTTCTTCTAAACATGCGCCACTTGACAATAAAAGGCCACTTTTATTTTCTAAACATGGCCATTTGACAATAAAAGGCCATATAGATGTGGATTGGGTTGGTTCCCTTGATGACAGGAGATCAACCTCAGGCTATTATGTTTTTGTTAGAGGAAACCTGGTCACATGGAAAAGCAAGAAGCAGGTTGTTATTGCAAGGTCCAGTGTAGAAGCTGAATATAGAGCTATGGCACAGAGAATCTGTAAACTCCTATGGTTGCGCAGATTAATGGAAAAGTTAAAGTTAGTTAAAACAACAAATATATTCTTGTTTTGTGATAATAAAGCAACCATCAATATTATGAATAATCCAGTCCAGCATGATCGAACTAAGTACATAGAGATTGATCGCCACTTTATAAAAGAGAAGATAGTTGAAGGTTTCATAAGTGTCTCCTATATAGATTCAAAAGAGCAACTAGCTGATATTTTCACAAAGTATTTAAATAGCAAGTTCTTTCATCATTTAGTTTGCAAGTTGGGCATGTATAATATCTTTGGACCAACTTAAGAGAGAGTGTTGAGATCGTTATAATTAGAGTAAATATTGTCTTTCCTAATTTAGGTTTATTTCTATTTAGATTAGTTTCTATATTGGAACAATTCCTTATATATATATAGAGCAGAGATTGTGTAACAACACATTACAGAGAAATAAAACTCCCTTTTCAAAAAATTTCAATTGATTTTTGAAAATAAAAATTTAGGTTGTTAAAACATTTATAAAAATTTTTAATTTTTTTAATAAAACAAACTAAACTCATAAACATATGAATTCAAAAATGTTGAAGTCTAACCCAAGCCCAAATCATGTATTGAGAGTCCACAGGCCCAAATCATGACATGACAGTCCAAACAACGGAGTAACCGAACAAGAGACACATCGCGTGAAAATGACGGTCCGTACAAACCGTCCAAGTCTAAGATGACAATCACCTGCATGATCCGAGACCCGATGAATCAAAATCCCTAACCCCTACATAAATTAAAAAGGAAAGCTGACTCAAAGTCAACAAACAAAGAACAAACGGAAAAACAAATCCCTCACACTACTGCTTAATCTTAAGCAACCGAAACACAAAGAAAAGAATTCTCCCCTACCTATCTTTCCTTTTTTTTCTTTCTTCATAGAAAGAGAAGTACTAATCGACGCAGAAAACAAAATATTTTCCAGAGAAACAAACAAAAGCAAGCTATGGCTGGGGTTTCGAAAGAGACGCAGATGTCCATAGAAGCGTCTTCGATGTTTCCAGGTTTTCGGTTTTCGCCGACCGACGTGGAATTGATTTCCTATTACCTCAAGAAGAAAATGGAAGGAGCTGACAAATGCGTCGAGGTCATTTCCGAAGTCGAAATTTGCAGATATGAGCCCTGGGATTTACCAGGTTCGTCTTCCTTTCTTCGTTGCAGAATACAACTCCAAACGATTCGATTTTCGCTTTGTTCGTTCTGTTTAATTTTGTTCCGACACGCGTAACACATGCATTGTAAGCGTGGCTCTATCGGTCTCTGACACGTTGATGGAATACAAAGTGATAATAAGATAAAATGACAATAAGATAATCATCTGTGAATTTATTATTATTCTTATTATTATTATTTATTTTTGGGGAACTGAGCGCTTATTTTATAGTTACTGTGAGAATCAATTATTTTAAATCACCCTCATGTATTGTTCATGATTGGACTAAATGCCCGGGCCTTGAACTTTTTTACTAAATGTCCACTATGTTTATCTATCAAAAAAAAAAAAAAGTCCATTATGATTATGTATTCAAAATTAATTTTTGGATCAGGATACAAATTTTAAATTTATAATTAATTTACTTTTTTTAAAAAATATTAAATATTAAATTTTTACCTTTAAAATAATAAAAGTATTTTAAAGTTTTAAAAACAAAAAAAAAAATTCATTAACAAAAATAAGAAAAAAAACTAAGGAGATATTTACTTGTACTTTTCTAGAAAAGATTTCTCAATAAGAAAAAAAAAAAAAAACTGAAAAACTGAGTTTCACGTCAGATTTCTATTTGGAGAAGTGGAAAATAAAATTGTGAAGTTGATCATAAAACTGTTTCTACTTTTCAATTTTCACATTTTTATTTTTAGTTTTTGATTTTATATTTTTTATTATTTCAAAGTAGGAATTTTAAAATTTTATTATTTTTTCCAAAAAAGGGAAGTTGATCATAAACTTGAAGTTCTTGTTTTCAATTGGTATAAAAGTTAAATTTGGACCAAATTGAACATCCGTAAAATTTATGGATTAAATGGAGCATGTTTATCTTTCGGAAATCTTGAAGGAGAAATATACAAGACTGGTAATCTTCCTTCCAAGAAGGAATACCTACTCTTCACCAATCTTTTTCTTTGAAAATAAACAGTAAAACCGGTATTTCGAGCTCACGTTTTAAGCAAAAGAGAGCTTTGCATTGTTGGACTTTGTTAATGCTCATAAGCCGAACTATTCGATCTGTAGATCATTTTCTTTCTTTGACTCTTTGTTGTCGATGTTACATATGCTGTGTGTTGGATTAATATGCTACCTCTATCAGAAGATGATTAATATAAATTGAGTATTGTCAAGTATAGTGCTTAGGTAAGTGACAATGAGAACCAAATTAGGAAGTTGGCCTATTTGCTGTATGTTTTTAGATGTCAAATTGCATTTGTTTTTGCTAACGTTCAAATTTTGTTTCTTTGCTGTTAAGTTTCAGCTACATGATTCTACCTTCGCTTTTTTTTTTTTTTTTTTTTTTTTTTTTTTTGATCTTCTGTGCTCTGAAGTAAATGGGAAAAAACTAATATTGAAAGAAATCGAGATAAAATAAAAATGGCAAATAACCTGAGTTGTTTCAGGCGGGGTGGGCTTCAGATCTTGAGTCATTCATATATAATTTTGGAGGCACGAAAGGTTGAGACGAAGATAGATGAAATGTTGTAGAAGGAGTTGAGATGCCTAACTTTTGCTCCAAGTAAATAGCACAAGGGTATATTTTCGTCTAATTCCTCACTTGTTTTCAATTTTTCTGCTACATTCTTTACTTATTATTTTTAGGCTTTTTTGAGTTTTTTATGTATCTTTTTGCTTCATTCATTGTGTGTTTTGGTATTCCATCTCTTTCAAAGTAGGGAATTCTTTCAATTTAATAATGGGTAAAATGATTCATATATTATAATATTTTCGCTTTCTCATTAGAAAAAGGAAGTTGATTGGTGAATCCTCATTAAAACTAATTGGAAAGATTTATCTTTTGGTTATTTTTCGAAACAGCTTGGTGACCTAAATAGGGTTTGTTAAATTTTGGACCCCACATACATATATGGACACTCTCCATACACATCGTCGCGTTAGTAAAATTTTATAAATATATAGAGATGGAAATCTGGTATGTGGCGCTATTTGATGGTATTTATCATATCACAGAGACAAGCTCCAACATTGTTGTACAGCGTGTGGAGGATATTGAATAATACAACGAATGTATCCGGGTGCTATAATACTCTCCTTCCTAGTTTCCTATAGATAGCCTTTGGAATGTTCAAAAGTAAAATACGGACTCCTCTTTTAGCTTCTTCCCTCACCAATCACTCATTTTTTTCTTATGTATAGTAATAAGAGCTAAAGTTACTAGGTATATTAGTTACCGGGTATTATTCTTCCTTGTTTATGTAGTATGACATTATTTATTCCACGATGCTCAACGGGTTTTTCAACTGGCAAAAGAGGAGGCTTTGCAATTTTGGGTTTTGGACTTTGTTTAATGCTCATAACGAAGCCGAACAATTCCGAGTCTTCTGGTAAGCAGTACATTTTTTCCCTCCTTTCTTATATGACTTCTCTTTGTGCTCCTTGTCAACAATTGCTTTACACTATTCCAAACTGTTGCTTATTTAGGAATTATGAAAGCATCTTGGATACTACTGACTTCTACACACTTACTTCTTTAGGGCTGGAAGTTCACTATGATTAAGTCTGGCGTATAATTTCTCTATAGCAATACGAAGAAATTTTCAATAAATAAATAAATTGGTAGTTATTGTTCAACAAGGATTTTTTGACTAAATTACTTTAGCAAAGCACGTGCTTTCAAGATTTAGCAGTAAGGTGACAACTCGGACGAAGATTACGACTAACTGACTTATGTGTGGGAAAGGTTTGATGCCTAAATTTTGGTCTGGTACAATGGTTTTATTTAGACATTATAGGTCTCAAAATTTTTGGACCGAGTTGTATTCTTTTTTTTTGCCTCTCCCTTGATAACACATTCTGCTTTTTCAAATATCTTGGTTCAAGGTTTTTCATGTTGGGCCTGGTATGAATGTTTTGTTGATCATTGCTATACATCGTGGAATCTCATTTTATCACATTCGGCGATTCTGTTTATCTCTCTTTTTTCTCTTTTGCTCAGTTTCATGTGCAAGTTTTTTTGTTTTTCACCACTATTTCAACGTAATTTGATGGAGGTATTCGTTAAATTATTTTGTCGTATTGAATTTATATTATTTGAACTCTTTATACTTGGTGGGGAGCAAGATTGGGAAATACAGGGTAGGGAGAAGCATATAGCTTGGTCAATATCTAGGTACTTTTTTTTTTTTTTTTTTTTTTTTTTTTTTTCCATTAGTATTATGGTTGTAAATATTTGTAGTTGATTTATATTTGATTTTATGGGAGAATGGAAAAGAGGGAGGAAAGCTTGGTAATAGGATTCGATTCAGAAGTTATAGAACAAAGGAAAACTAGCAAGTATATTAAAAGTAGAATTAAAATTTTAAAATTATTTAATGAACATATCTTGGAACAGACTTAAAATAAAGAAACTACTTAATTAGTTTCATGAAGACACAGATTCTTGACTAGTAAATTAGTATGAGTTGGCCTATATATATACCAGTAGTATGGAAGGATTTTAAATTTGATTGTAGTTTAGGTGTTAATGAATACCCTCTGGAAATGTTGAACAATACATAAACTACCAAATTTTCTCTGTAACCAGGGAAATCTGTGATCAAGTCAGAGAATGAATGGTTCTTCTTTTCGGCCCGTGGAAGAAAATATCCAAATGGATCACAAAGTAGGAGAGCAACAGAACTTGGTTATTGGAAGGCCACTGGTAAAGAGCGGAATGTTAAATCTGGGTCTAATGTAATTGGTACAAAGAGAACTCTCGTGTTCCATATTGGTCGTGCACCCAAAGGGGAAAGGACAGAATGGATTATGCATGAATATTGCATGCATGGAAAATCCCAGGTATTTCTTCTATTATAAATGAGTTGGTTCTCCTCTTTATAAAAAATGCTCCTTTTGATATTCAAGAGCATTTCAGATTACTACTTCCTCTTTTGCAATGATTTCAATTACCTGAACTTTGTTAAGATATTATTCATTACATTTGTGTTGACAAAGTTAATTATTTTCTTAATAATTTGGTACATGACATATATTTATATGTTAGATGAGATTATTTTTTACTTGTTGGGAGCATTGAATGATATACTATAAAAAAATTAGATTAAAGAAACTCACTCATATATGAAGCATAATGTGCTTCATAACAAATGTTAGATGGAAGCCCTTAGAATTATGGTTCCTCTTTAATCCATTCTGAATCTGCCGCTAAGCTTTTAGTTACGCATGACTTTATTAAAGCCTATTTATTTCCTCAAAGACAAGGAATCTGTGTTTAGTTAGTCCTTTCTTCTGCCAATTATTTTATTTCATGGTCCAATGCTCCAAGCCAGTGAATATTCTTGTTGATTTTTGAGGATGTGATGTGCATCTTTTTTGAATAATTGAAGTACTGATTGAGGGATAAGAGTTGCCTCCATCTAGTATTCCTGTGTAATGAAACCAATAAAAAACAGTTTTAATACAAACTAGGGTACTTATTGCCTTTCATTGGGGGGGAAAAAAAAGTATAAAATAGTAAAAACATTTTATACAACCTTCATGGGCCCATGCATGAAGTCAATACATGAAGGGTTATTTAAAAAAGATTTACTATTTTATCTTTAATTTTTCAGGTGAATTGTTAGAAATACCCTTCTTTAAACCAAAAACTATTCTAATTGGTTTGGTATATGGTTGAGAAAATACATTGGGTGTAGTTAGGTTTATTGAGAATGAAGTTTGGAAAACACCATCTAACTGGCTATTAGTACGGACATTTAGTTGGATGTTCTTGCTTACATCAAAATCCGTTAAACGGTTGTGGTGATGGAATTTGAATCCCTAATTAAGATAAAGACTGTACTGATTGAATTATTTTGTGGAATTGCAATTGAGCTTGGACAGAAAGCTAGATATATTTATGTCAAAGTCAACCAGGCCTATGATGGTTGGCAGGTGGTTGGTACCATATTTGGTATTTAACTTTCTTTTCTTTTTGGTTCTAGCTAAATATTTTCAGCAACGCTTTATATTTTGTTTGGTTCTATGGTTATATACTTTGAACTGAAGTATGTAATCAGTTTATCCTTTGAACTGCAGGACTCTCTTGTTGTTTGCCGCCTTCGGAGAAACATTGATTTTCGTCCAAATGACAGTTCTAACCGAACTTCTCTAAATATGAGGCATTTATCAATTTCTGAAGCTGGTACGGATCGGCCAGGCACATCTGAAGGGGAGAAAGCGGCCGAGTCCTCGAGGAAATATAGTAGCAGTCATGATTCTCATTCTGTTGAGCAATTTGATTCAGCATCTGAATCGGAACAGAAACATTCGAGTGAGACTCTGCTGGCAGAATCTTCCAGCCAACAACCGGAGGTTTTCTTATTTGCCTACATACTATTTTATAAACTTTTATTTATTCTATTTTGTTTATTTATTTCATTTAAAGTAGCTATTCAACTTAATAGTCTTGGATTTGGAAATCTATATAATTCTAAAGTTTCCAGGAGGGACAACCTCCTAATTGTCAAATCTGAATTCAATTTCTAAATGTGGACATGACTTGATGGATTCCAACCTAAATAAAATACTAATTTCATGTTCTTACTTAAATTCCAGGATTCTGTTAATGAAGAAGAGTTTTATGCTGATATACTAAATGATGATATAGTTAACCTAGACGAAACTCCGTTGACTGCCATTCCTGAGCTCCTACCAACGCTTGCCAATAAGCCTGAGGTTCAGACACAAGCTCAACAACAGCCTATGGAATTAGTTGTTTCAGGTGCACCTCCTTTGCAGTCGATTCCTATCCAAGGGACAGCAAACAGAAGAATTAAGTTGACGCAAATACCTGAGGCATCTGAAGGCAACATCAACAAGTATCCTTCACAGAAAAAGAAAACTAAATTACCAAGTTCAGAGGAGTCACCAAAATGTGTGCTTGGTTTTTCCAGTCGAAGACTCATTTTTATAATTTTAATTATTCTGACTTTGCTGATTTCGTTATCGTCCTTGTCGGGACGCTGCCTGCATAAAATGAATCACATATGTTGCCATGTTGAAAGCCTTCTGGGACTCTAAACTTGGCAGCATTGAAATTGTAAACAATGTCAAATTAGCAAGCAGCTTCCTTTTCTTTTATATTTTCTTTTTTTACTCAACAATGTTATTGTAATGTTTAATAATATTGTACAAGGGTTAGCATCAAAAGGACGACAATTTGACTTGTGGCATATGCCAGTTTTCTAAAGTTTGCGGAAGGGTGGGGCTATTTTTGAACTCCGGACCAATTATTAATTAAGTTTACTCGCGTTATGTTGCGGGTAACATCTGAAAATATATATGCATATATAATGATTAAATTAATAAACTAAATTTTTTATTTTTTAGAAAAATATTTCTAATTTTTTTTGAATAATATTTAAATTTTATATAAATATAAACTTTTATAAAACTAAAAGATTAATAAGAGAAATATTTGTAAAATAACAACAATATGGAAAGAAAATTGAGATTAATATGAAAAATATTTGTAAAATAATAATATGAAAAGAAAATTGAGAGGAGACTGTAAAACCATAGACAATTTCATTTCTATTCAAGTATATTTCTTTATACAAAATGTCTCTATTTATAAGCTCTTGATCATAAATATACATTTGAAAGTTACAAAAACATAAATAGGATAATTATTATTCATAACTATTAGAGAATTTGAGAATTAGGTCTCTTCTAGAATTAATTGGATATATGAGTACGCGGAAAGAGAATTCAGGGGGCTCAGTTGGCATCACAATCATGCAAAGGGAAGGGCGAGCTGTAATAGGGGCGGGAGCTTCTGGTGAAAGTATCCATAGAGGAAATATATTAGGCTAAGATCTGTTAACCAGTCCCATGATTCTCATTTCTGTTGAAAAGGGTCGCGTGATGAGATCCTGGTCTGTAGCATGATATAAGATGCACAAATTTCCACTACGCAATTCCTTGAATTCGGGGGGAACACAGGAATGAACAAATATTGAACCGATCGTGAAGACTTCTGCCCTCCTAGGCGCCAGACAAAATACTCTTAAGTTGAGTCAGTTAGATCTTATATCCGCAGCTCAGACATTAAGCGTGGTGAGGTTTTAATCTTTTATTTGGCCATACTAATGAAACTTATTCTTTACTATAACTTTATTTTATATGATTTCGCCAGTATTTTGGTTTTATGGATTTATATCTATTCTATATAGTGTAAATGTAAGCTATTTCCAAACTTAATAGTCTTTGGGTGAATATTGGAAATTCTATTTATACATTCCTAACTTTGTAAAAGTTTTGTGCCTAGGAAGGTGGGATCAATACCTTGCTCGTTCCACATTGTTCAAAAAATTCTGTAATATCAGATTTTTCTGAAAATGTTGGACAATAATAAGTAAGACTATGAAAATGAATTTATCCCAATCTCTTAATATTTTACAACATCAATCTCTAATAAAATTTTTCTAACTTTGGGTTATTTCTCATGAGCCTTTTGAGCATACTGTTTCAGTGGGAATTTTCTTTGTTTTATATATTTTATTTGATATATTTGATAGTTTCTCTTTTCTTGGTCTGGGATATACCCTTCAGATATTTTGCTAATGTTTCGTATAAACTAGTTAAGCTCTCTTAGACCCGCAAACTGGCTTTGACACACTGCCCATTCCTGGGGAACGTTCTACTCTTCGCCTAGCCGCTAAATCAAACGGGCTTCTTGGGTCACCCAATCCAAAGGTCCCTATGAGACCTATTGGGTTTTTTTTACTAGATCACACGAACCGCTCAACAAACAGGCCATTACTGGGAAATTAGTTGTTTCAGTGGCAACCTCCTTTGCAGTGCGATTCCTATCCAAAAGGGAAGCGGGCGCGAAAACGCAGAAGAAAGATAATTCAACTGTTCGAGACTCGCAAATGCCCGTGCTCCACCAAAGAGGCTACTCCGTTGTGACAAGGGCCAACATGTACAGAACCCCAGAGGCGATGTGAGTCCTCTCGTTCCAACTCAGACAAAAGAAAACGTCAAAGCTATTACCCCGTCAAAAGTTATTGCAAGATAGGAGTCAGGACCAAAATGGCGTGTTTGTGTCTTGGGTTTTTCATGCCCCAGGTTCGAAACGACATCAGTTTCTGTCAACTGTAGGATCTTGAGTGTATATAAAGGCTCTGATTTCTGACTCGTTGGGCTGATGTTCGCATGTTATTGGGTCCTTGTTCCGGGGGAACGTGATGCGGATCTCTGCTCGTGTCACATCTAAAATGAAACCACGCAGCATTCGATGGTATCTCGGGGACGCCTCCAAATGGGACTTTGGCAATTTTCACAGCGCAACTGTTGGTCCTCTAGGGGGACTCTATTTACCTTTGGGGCAGCCATTGGAAGGATTGTTTAAACAAGTCCTCGAAATGTACCGAGGCACTCTAGGTAGCTTTGCCCCGTCTTTTTTTCTTTTACTATTTTCCTTTTGTTTTTTTTTTATTGCTTACTACAATGGTATTGGTAATGTTAAGTGTGATAATGCTTGTTACATGCGGGCTTTATGTGGGTGGATGGGTCCACTTATCTAGAGAGAGAGGGTACAATCTGACAATGCTTACTTGAGACATTCTTGTGGCAATGCAGTTTGTTCCTCCTATATAGTTTTTGAGGTTCTCCGTGGGGAGGTAATGATGTGGTTGGTGGCGTATTGTTTTCCTTTTTGGGGTAATCTCACGGGACCAATTAGTATATTAAAGTTTTTATATCTTCGCGTTATTGTATGTTCGAGTGGTGGAACATTATGAAAAATTACAAGTAATGCAATAACTAATACCATGAATCTAAAACTTAAATAAATCTTACTAGGAAGCTACTAGCTTATTTTTTATTCTTGAATTTTGGATCCCAGCAATGAATAAAAAATCACCAGAACATAGGATTGAACGGATTATTCTGAAATATTATTATTTTCTTATATTGATTTTTTTTTGGGAGAGTTATAGTAAATTTAGAACAATTTTTAATTTAATTGAAAACTTCTATTATAAGAGAAAGTGACTTTTGAAAAAGTATATGAAAATAAACTTCAATAAGGCATTTTAAATAAATGTTGAAGATGAAAATATCTTGCTCCAAACTATATTATATTAAAATCTGATGGACTATGGAAAGTTAAAAGACAATTTGAGGTGAAATGATCTGGGCAAATATAAAGTAAATGAGCTTTATTTATTTGAGAAGGGTTAAAATATAAGTACTTGAAGTAATTAGATGTATAATTACCTACAATATCTCATGAGAGAGGGAAGACTATAGCGCTCGTTAAAACACTACTAAATTATATGATACTAATTGAGCCAAGACCTTTTTATGATTTTCTTATATTTGGGGGTTCTAAAAGTGGTGAGTATTTTTCTTGTAGTAGCTCTAAAATAATAATCATGTCTTGCTTGAGATGTTTATTATATGTCTTAACGTAATGGGTTAATCATAGTAAATTTATAATATCCATTTTAAAGGGAAAAATTTTCAAATATAATGTATAAACTACAGTAGGGAAAAGAGTAAATGATATTTATTCATTTGTCTCATCATCGTATACTGTATGTAATATGATGCTGCAAGGGAGAATTATTGTGGGTATGAATATTTGGGTCCTACTTCTAGAGAGGTTACCATTGAGGGATATATATAACCAAGCTAAAATATTTAGATTATAGTAGTACTCACCTTATATCAATAATCATATTAATTATTTACTAATATGGAGTATATTTAAAATAGAATAGAATTATTACTGAAAGTGAATAACTTTAATTTAGGGAAGAAGATAATTAATAATAATAATGGTTTACGTGTGATATGGGCTCGTGATAATTTTAGCTATTGTGGCCTGATTATTGGGTTTAATTAAGATGTAAGTTTAGTTTTCAATAGGACATATGTAATATCCCGCTATATATACAATATATCTTTTCATGGCGTCAGCACATACATACATTGGGTCTCAAGAGAACTTGGTTGTATATAGAGTTTTCTGTGTCGAAGATGTTTCTGGATATAAAGGGAGCTCCTATGAGACTGTGCTGTTGACAAAATGCTGTGCACGCAAATTCACCTAAGCTCACAAGTATCGTTGGTGGTCGAGGCAGCATGAAACTGGGCTCTTTTCACATTTGGAATAGGTGGATGTACTCATTCAGCCGAAGATCTCTTTTTGCTATGAATTGTATGGCTTATATAGCGTGCTGTCTACATAGACATGGCGGTTGTCGCTCTCGATATAACTGCTATCTCATATCCGCCGCCTTTTCTCGGAATAAATATTTGTTATTTGAGGTATTAGAAGAGAAATAATTATAATTAGATACGAATAGTGAGAATTCTATGTTATGTATTAATTAGAGTTTATTTAGAAATTTAATATCCTTCAATATATCTTTTCATGTCCTTTCATGTCCAATAAATGTTATAGTTGAATTTGAATAGATGAACTGCGTAAATGTGAGCTCTAAGCTCAAATGGGTGGACTAGACTGCCTAAATTGGAATAGGTGGACTGAATCCATTTTAATATTGAGTTGCTTCAACTCGGCGTGAACTGCTTTAAGGTCGAATTTATTGAGGATTGTTTAAGTCTGAATTTATTTAGGACTACTTAAGTCCGAAATTATTGAGGACTGTTTAAGAATGAATTTATTGAAACGGCTTAAGTCCGAATTTATTAACCTCCATTTGATCATGCTACCTGCTTTTATCATGATACAGAGTATAAAAGTTCTCGACAACCAACTAATTAACAAAAATTGCTTTAATAAATAAATACAGTTAACTTATTATTAATCTATTTAAATTTTCACTGGCTATGGTAACTTACCACCTTCTCACCCACAAAAAGAGGATAAAACATATAGTTCGAGACTAAAAGCAATGATATAGTTGGCTAGATGACGATGAGATTACAATGTAATGTTATAAAGCAATATACTATTTTCAATCTTTTGAAATATCAAAGCAAAATAGTCTTAAAAATTCATTAAAACATCAACTATTATCAAACTATAAATAGTTAAATATTGCAAACACTAGTGGTGGTACATCCAGTAAAATTGTTTCTAGAAAGGCTTGTGATAACAATTTGAGTCGAATTTTCAAACTTTAGAGGAAATATTACTCATTACTCCTAACTATATTCACTTTAATTGCAAATGTCAAATTATTTGTTTGCAATA